AGATTCAAGACTGATATAAATTGTTGCATGCAAATTTACTTGTGAATTGTGCAGGAACCAGAGGAGGAGGCCATCTACAGCGGACCAGATATCTACATGGAGCCCAACCTGTTCATGTCCAACGTGAAGGTGCAGGCCTTGTATGACTACCGCGCTCAGAGGGACGACGAGCTGTCCTTCTGTAAACATGCCATCATCTACAATGTCCTCAAACAGGTAAACCATTGTGTTGTGTTTCCTAGCTGTCATAGCGTAGCTTTTGTGACGGTTTCTTACCTCCTCACTAAGAACATGTTCAGGAAATTCCTGGCTGGTAAACAAGGAATGTTGATAGATTTAGCAGAAATAGATTGTATATTTCAAAAGTATCCAAAAGTGTCAAATATTCTTTTATTTCTTAATCGAAAATCTAAAGTAAGGGGTCAGTCAAGAGGTTTTTCTAAAGAAGAGGGAACACGCGTAAAGTGAACAAAGGGGTGAAATTAAAATAGAAGCTGGAGTGGATAGATAACGTTGAATTCCCTATGTGCCCCACACCCATTTTTGGTCAGTCAGCCATTCAGTATATAGTGAAAGAACGAGATTTGTTTAGAGTTAAAACTAGAGATCCCACACAAAAAGTTCTCTCACCTAGAGCTTTCGACCAGTCACTCTGGTCTTCCTCGGTAGACTGACCCAGTGAGGCTTGTCACATGGTTTCTTTGAAGTGTGACGTCAACACTGGGTGACTGGTCGAAAGCTCTAGGTAAGAGAACTTTTTGTGTTGGATCTAAATTTTTAACTCTAAACATATAAATACCAACACAGATGAATTTTCATGATAGTGACTGTGTATTGTTGTGCCACAGGATGGAGGCTGGTGGCGAGGGATGTATGGAGGTGTACGGGAACACAAGTGGTTCCCGTCCAACTACGTGGAAGAGATGGACCAGAAACAGAACAGCATCGAGGAGAACCCACTGGGCAGTCTACAGCAAGGGGTCATCGACATCCAGTGTGAGTGTCAGGCTTGAGCATGCTTGTGTATAGTTGTTGCAGTTGTGTGAATGCTCTAGTTTGATAAAAACTTCAGCATTTGTAGTGTACTTTTAGGCATTTATGAATATCTACATTGGCATAATTGCTTTTCTGAAAAAAAAATGTTTGTAGCACATGTAGCCTGTCTGCATATTGAAAAGCTGACTTGTATGTCAGCTTAAACTACTTGTTTGTTGTGCAGTTGATGAAGGGTAAGAAATATTGCATCCAGATTAACTTGAAAGTGTAGTTTGTATCCTACCTACGTTTATAAAGTGGTAGTAGTTTATTAGACAAAAGTATGTATCTACAACAACAATATGCAAATGCCTCATGGCAGCCTATATTTGACAACTGAATTGCGAGGCCGTTTGCCATTATTGCATGAGTCATTAAAAAGGGTAATGCTTACAAATTGCTATTGTTTAGTAGATGGCATATCAGGACATCTAATTCCACAATAAAAATATCAAATCAAATCTTTATTAAACATCAACATGGCAGATGTGCCGAAGTGCTTCGGGCATGTCTGAATTACATTGACATTTTACAATCATTAATATATAAACATCGTTACAATAGGTAGATTAAAAGCTTCATCAGTATTTAAAAATCATCATCATTAAGAACATGTAGATTAAAATACCAATTGTATCATGCAGCCTGTACAGTAGACCTCCTGCAGGGAGGGAAGGGGGATCAGAGATGGGTGTTCCGCATCATCACGCCCATGAACGAGCGACCTCTGGAGATTGCGGCCAGGTCAGAGGAAGAGATGCACGAGTGGGTCGACACCATCCGAGACGCAGCTCGCATGGCGGTGGTCCAAGCAGTCGAGGACAAAGACCTGGAGAGGCGGAAACGGATCGCTCGCGAACTGTCCGACCTTGTCGTGTACTGCCGGTCGGTTTCCTACGAGGAGGGCAGGCGGGGGCAGTACTACGAGATGTCCTCGTTCCCGGAGACCAAGATGGAGAAGATGGCGGTAAAGGGGAAGGCGCCGATGCTACTGGAGTACAACCATCACCAGCTGAGCAGGATCTATCCCAAAGGGCAGCGGATCGACTCCTCCAACTACGACCCCATGCCGCTGTGGTCGGTGGGCTGTCAGCTGGTGGCGCTCAACTACCAGACTCCTGACCGCCCCATGCAGCTGAACGAAGCCATGTTCAGCAGAACGGCCGCAGCGGGTACATCCTCCAGCCGGACTGCATGCGCGACCCCGTGTACGACCCCTTCATCCGTAACACGCTGAGGGGAGTGGACCCCGATCACGGTGACTCTCACCATCTTCGGCGGCCGCCATTTGCCGAAGGC